AACTGCGTTTCGGATGGCTGTCTGGCTAACACAAAAGTACCTTGCAGATGAGAGATGACAACCGCAGATAACTGTCAAAAATTGGCTTCTCACCACTATGGGTAGCAGTACCAAACGATGCATGGGCTTTTCTACAGGCATTTGGTTTTATCTCCGATGTTGGTCTATTATCCGATTGGGATAGCTCATCCAGTCTGCTTTGTTCCATCTCACAATACCATAAAGGTAGATGTCCACAAATTTCCACCACTTTCAAGTAAATCCATCTTTGTTAATTCGGACAACTGGCGATGCTGTGGAATATAGGTAATTCAGGTGCGCTGCTTGGTTGTTGGTTTGTTCTTGGAGCTTGGAAGTCAGATTGCAAACGTTTCATCACCAGTTTCATCGTCAGTGACGGTGTCACCTCGACTGGTGATGAAAAGTTTGCAATCCGACTGCCGAGTTCGGCGAACTGACCAACAACCAAACTTTGAGCAACTATATATTTGTCCGATTGGGATAGCTCATCCAGTCTGCTTTGTTCCATCTCACAATACCATAAAGGTAGATGTCCACAAATTTCCACCACTTTCAAGTAAATCCATCTTTGTTAATTCGGACAACTGGCGATGCTGTGGAATATAGGTAATTCAGGTGCGCTGCTTGGTTGTTGGTTTGTTCTTGGAGCTTGGAAGTCAGATTGCAAACGTTTCATCACCAGTTTCATCGTCAGTGACGGTGTCACCTCGACTGGTGATGAAAAGTTTGCAATCCGACTGCCGAGTTCGGCGAACTGACCAACAACCAAACTTTGAGCAACTTATATATTTGTAATGCACTACTCACAGGGTTGCTAAAAACTCCACGACAGCCCACGACCGGTTTCGCCCTTCTTGAGGCTCATCAGGTAGGCGCAGTCCCCGAGTTCCCATCAACCTTATGTTCTGCTTGAAACCTAATTGCACTGTTTTCGAGAAATACACTCATTTGCAAACAAATATGGTCTTGTGAGAGACTCACCCGGAACCCAGCTGAACCTTTCGGTTTTGATGTTTCCAGGCAGTTGACAACTTACTTTGTTTAAATGATATCATTTAATCTCAACCTCTATCGGAACCTCCTCGATGTACTCAAAGGTATCAGCCAGTCTGACGGAGGCATACTCAAAACACTGCCTATAAAATCAATAACTATTCGTGTTCTTATCGTGTGTGGTCGGATCCCGGAAAGTGAGACCTTGGAGGGGGGATCATTCAAGACATTGCATGCCTGGCGCTAGATCTAATTATTGATGGCTGTTGCGCCCTATCTAAGGGATGATGACTACATCAGTCTCACAATAGGGAGCTTCAGTGAAGACAGGGGATCTATGATCGCTTCTTTTTTGGGCCGGCCTGTTAAACTAGGAAGCAAAATTGCTCAACAAAAGATTCACTGCTCGTTGAACTAGTTTGAAACCTAGCCGAATACTCTCATTTGCATACTAATCTGATTTCGACGGCCGAATCTCTAGTTTATGGTGTTTACTGACGTTGTCTCCACCAAAGATGATGAAGCGTCCACATGTTAGTTGCCACGATGGGCGAACAGATCAACAGCTCTCGAGCAGTTTGATTAAATTGCACTCAGATGGGATGTAGCTCCATTCATCCTCCACAAGTAGGATTCACACCAAATGATTACATGCTAACTGGCTCAGAGGGAGAATTAGTTCCAAGATGGCGTGAACCATCCGTCTAGACATCATCATGAATGCAAAGAAACTTTCAGGGGAACGAGGGCCGCGATACTGCCAGCTTGCCCAAGCCTTAACAGGAGCGGTCTAAGAGCCATTGTTGGTTTCGAACCATGGACCTTTCCCTTAGTGGTTCCGCGCTTAAATACTCGCATAGCTCTCCTTATACCCGAGCAGACGCAATCGCAAAAGGATGTCCTGATGGACTGTGCTACCTATGGGATTCTTACCCACTTTCGAAACCCACAGTTTTCGACCTGGTAAGTTGTGTTCTTCCGAATAGCTTAGAAAATAGTAAAGAATCACGTGTTACAGATTGCCGTTGCCTCGTTGTTTCAAGAAAGATTTTATGGATGAATCCAAGTCCAAACCTGTGACATAAACGGTGGCAAAGTCACTTGCTATCGATCAAGAAGCTGGTAATCATTTTGGGGGTTTCGACGAGTCTCACACCTTCAACGTGTGTCTTTCTTTGCTTCTGACACAGCATCATCATTTTTGTGAAGGAGGGAGTTGCAGCCTTCACCAAACTGTTCTTATCCGATTCTTGTTTATTCCTCCAGTTGGATCCGTCAATATTCTTCAACCAAAATTGCAGTCTGAAGTGTTCGACACATCTTTTCGCGGGATGGGTTTGTACTTTACGTTTACCAGTGTTCTTACTCGCATTTGTAAATGATATCTGCATTGTTCGTTTTGTTATTCCCCCAAAAAGACGGTAAACAGTCAGTTATCTGAATTGTGGCCCGCTTTCAAGAGAAGACCCAACACCGGTTGACGGACGAAAAGGATTTGAGCGTATCATACACTAACTGCATTCATAGTAAAACACACTCATTTGCAAACAAATTCGGTTTCGCGAGAGACTCACCCAGCTGAATCTCTCGTTTGTGATGTTTTCAAGCAACTGGGTATGTTTCACCAGGTCGCCTTATGTTTCAGTTGCTACGATATTCGAGATATCGCGACACATGTACATTCGTAATGCACTACTCATAAGGTTGCTGAAAATTCTTTGACAGCCTCGCTGTCAAAACTAGACCCAAAACCGGTTTCACCAAGTTGACGGACGAAGTGAACTTGAGTGCATCGAATGCTAACTGCAATCATAGTTCTTTCTGATCATCAGCTCCCTTCTCCTGTTTTCTTTACTTCTGTTCAACTTTGTTTCGGAATGTTCCAATCCGCCAAGGCCTGAGCGTTGGTTTAATGGGTTGAACACGAAGAGAAGCCATCTAGATGGTCGAGGACTCGTTGCCGACTGGCAATCTACAGAGTTCAGCGCATCAGCCATACTTGCCCTTTCTGTAGCTTTCCTATTATAACCATCATGGTCGTCGATCTTTAAGCCCGTTACCAGCAAAAACAACAAAGTACCCAACAGTCTTGAATGAGACTGGAAGAGGAAGGAGTACTGTTTTTGAACCTGGCGGCTTTTTATGCCTACATCTTATTACGAATGTTGTCACTGTATTACTGTGTGTCCTGCTGGAGCACGCAAGACAAAAACGGGTCTGAACCAACGTATTTCGAACCCGTACCCATAGGACCGGTAGAATCAACGTAGCACATGGATGACTTGAGCTAAAAATTTTCCTATTTTAGCTAACTAAAGTATGCCTCAAAGACTACTCCATACTCCCAGCTGAGCTGTAGCCTTTTGAGGGTTCCAAAAATTAATGGGTTACCCCTGAAGAGTGATAACTCCGGTCCTGCTATCGCTGTTATCCTCATGATTCATTAGATGCAAAACCGCAAAGAGTTACCCGGAATAGCTTTGAAACTTTTTGTGTGTGTGGAGACTTCGTTCTGTAGATGAAGCCAGTGTATGCTGAAAAGCCAAGCAGCACTCTACAGCCGTGTCATCCTTACTGGGAATCATCAGCAGTGAGTATCTCACAAAATTCCGGAGCGTCTCGAACCCGCGACGTCCTGGCTGGTGGTCTGATCACTTGACCGTTCGGCCAAGGGTGGCTGATCAGCAGTGTGATTAACTCGCATTTACAGGATATAGCGCCGCTCATCCTCCAATCATGGGATCCACATCACGTGGTCAACAGGTGTTGCTGGCTGCTCGATCAATGACTTTTCTGAAACGTGTTCGGTCGAAACCTCAGCAAATTTATGGGTTTACTGATTGTGAGATTGACCCATGTCAAGTCAGGAACTGTTGAGGTTACTGTCCAAATTCTATGAACATTCGTCACAGTATGCCTAGAGGCTTGAATGCTGATGTCTTTATAGTTCTGTTTCTCATCCGCTCATCCTACATCCACGTCATTAGAGCTCTTCCCAAGGATGAAGATACAGTAGTAGGAAGACGCGAAGTTACCAGTGTAACGGTGATACTACTAGTGGGGGAAGCATGCGAGTAGTGTATTTTCTCGTAAATCCACTTCACGTCTCTTGAAAAGTGAGATCTACTAAGTAATTTGTGCAGTCGCTCTGTCGCATTCGCCTGTAATTGAGTAACAGTCAATGAATACCTAGGAAAGTTCAGGAGGACGCGTCCAAGAGATGATGGGTATTCAGTTGTTGTAAACAAGATGCATATGAGAGTTTTGCTCCCCTGTCCAATAGCCTGTAACCGTTCATTAGACATTTTCCAACAAATAACTCCGCAACGAAGGCCTTCTTCCTTTCACCAGTGGTTCCCATAATGGAAAGACGTCTTGAAAATAAATGAAACTCCTGCTTTGAAGTAACCAAAGGCCTTAAACCATTCCATTCAGATATTCCATCATGTTCTCCAGGTACGACTACTGTATTTGAGAGAAAACACAACCGACTTTTTCAGTATGATAGACAATTATGGCTTTGTTGCTTCCAATTAATTTGTAATCCTAAACAGGCGAAGTTCCAATCCCTTCTGACTTATGACTTGGGCCGAATCGGTTCCAAACGCAGTGCTGTCCCAATGGATGAGACGAACTGAAATTACTTTGTTGCTGAGATTCTGTTGCTGACAAGGTCAACGGGGAAAGCAACACAAACCAAACGGGAAATGAGAAGTAGCATACTGAGTCGAGGGTGGTGTAGAGAGCTGTCAATTTCAAGATGTTCAACAGGTGATCGAGTCCAGGGCACACACATGCACACTACCAAGCAAAGCGAACATAATAAGACTTGAATAAAATCAAAATAGGTCAACTTAGGACACAATTTTGCAAGTATGTAATATCTAGATGTGCAATAAAATGAGGTAACTGAGGGTGGATGTGTTACTAGGATAATTTGCCTGTAGCTTGTGTGGATGATGTGGACGATGTTGGACGGAGCCTTGTCAAATCACATACGGGAGCGAAGTGTGCCTCAATTTATAATATGGATCGGAAGCGAGATGGCCCAGGTGATTAGAGTGCGAATTTACTGACCGGAAGGTCTGTGATTCGGACCCGAATTCTGCCCCTCGACTTCCCCTGTCTAGACTTAAGTAACCTGGCAGTATCCCAGCCCCCGTGCTTCCTTCGGGCTGCGTGGCAACTAGGCGCCGAAAGGGTGCTACCGCTGAACGATTATTATTATTTATATGGATCGCCTATTTTACTGTTCGATTGAATCCGCGCCGCGTTCTTGCATTCTTGCTGAAAGACCCACGTAACCCACTCGCGCTTATCTCTTTTGACAACCTAAAGAAATCGCACGGTCTGCAAAGCCACTGGAACTGCCACACCCATATGGATGCGATGGTGGAAATCCCAATATGAGACTAACTCGTCATTATTCAAACACAACACCCTTTCAGTGTCTAGCTGCCAGGTTACCCAAGCCTAGACAGGAGAAGTCTGGATGTAGAGGCCGGGTTCGAACCACGAACCTTCCCGTCAGCAAATTCGCGCTCTAACCACAGAGCCAACTCACTCACAGCTACCTTGCTGAACCCAAGAAGCCTGGACACGTTTCAGTTCTCAGAGTCAGCCCTGTTTCTGACCTCTAGAAAGGTTGCTCAAAACAGACTGTCGATTACCACGGTAAAAGACAGTCTGAAAGGTGAGGCAACAATACTTCCTAGTAAGGTCTGAATAAGCGTCAGTATGAATTAAATGAACTGAGAAATACGCTCGTTTAGACACTCATGTGTCAAGGGTGACCATATTCAACATCAGGGAATCTTACTCTGTAAGTTCCCATGAAGTACTGAGTAAACTCTGCCACTCCGTCAAACGAACATAATGCCACTGCCTCTGGTTGCTTTCCCCCGTTCACAAACAGAAATAAAAGTGTAAACAAGTAGCATATGACACAACTACACAGCTCACCTTGTTACCACGACAACTATACACCAAATCTTATCAATCTACAAACATTGCGTTTTGTGACAATGATGTAAACACGTGTGATTGTTTGGATCGGTCCACTGAACCTAAGGCGCCACTCCATTTTGGATACGTTTCCGTTTCAGGTAACTTAACTCAGTGTGTCACATCATGTTTGAAAGTGAATTGTTAAGCGCTACGATGTTTGAGTTTGTTTTACTGAAGTTTATACAACAGATTTGTTTGCTGTGGAAGGCAACAAACTGTAGAATGACGATCACATCGCTTTACTGCACAGGTAACAGTCCTACCTTTTACCCGTATTACCTGAATTATCGCTCGCATGCTTGCTTAGCTACTTACTTGCTTAATTTCCTACTCACGCTTACTTAATTACTGGCTGTAAAATCATGACTCGGTGCTGGTCCAAGATCTCATGGGGACCTAGTTACATCATGTCATTCCTGATGGTCCGAAGCAACTTTAGTTGGTTTCTGAAACTATTAAGTCATCCTCGACAGGAACGGCTTATGTTCGAAGATCTTGGCGCCGTTCAGTCGTAATAGATGCCCAATCCACTTTAGATGTTGTCGACAGAAGGATCGGAATAAACGCCTTGACTCCTTGGAGATCCGTTTCCAGTAACAGAGCATTTGAATTTGTCAAAGACACTGATGGTGGAAAACCTACAGCTTCTAGCTATCCCTTGTCCATAGAAGCAAGTTGCTCTGAATGCAAAATTTGATCTGGTGGAATGATTCGTTGAGAGCTCGGAATTCTATGCAGTGTGATCGACAAACACTTCTGCATGGTTGGGTTTAGGTCTGGGGAAACGAATTATGCGGTACTTTGTGCCCTACTGACTATGTAGCCCGTAACGTTTGGTAAGGAATTCCTATGTACTACTTGTCATGGTGCAAATGTTTCTACTGGACTTAATTTGCGGAAACGGACACTAAAACGTGGCCAACGATCACCTGTCCATCTATGAAGCTGGCCAAATTCTGCTTCAAAACCAACAACGGCGATTAAACGAACCACCTCTATTGCATCGGATGATTGAGGCTAACTACAGAATTCGATGGCAACGACGTACTTCTTGACACTCCTTGCTCCCATCTAATTAGTCTGGTGTTGCAATAGGAATCAAAAGCTGAAAGACGTCGGGGACTTACGAGTACACGTGAAAGCTCAGTGATAAATTCTCTTTCAAATGACTTATACTCCACCCATTGCAGAAATTCAAACCAGTGTCTAGACAAAATGTTATGGAATATACGACAAATCATAAGCAGAAACACTGTCCACTACATTATTTCGTCCCGGATGCCATTGGTATTGACTGTGAATTCTCACTGACGCGGGCGATGCGCAAAATTTCTATTGACTATGAATTCTCACTGACGCGGGCGATGCGCAACTCACGCCTGCCTTGAAAAAAATTGTCATTCGTATTTATACCTCCCTCTCATGAAGATAGCTGGTTCATCCAATCTTCTTCATGTCCAGCATTATCATTGACGAGTTCCGTCATCTGATTGGTCTACTGGTCATCATCCGTTGTCAGTAGTTGATTTTCTTTGATTTAATTGGTCAGTTTGCCATTTCCGTTGCGTTCAGATTTTCTGGGTTAGCCGTTCATTGAGTAGCTTTCTATATCGTTCTGTCAAACGGAGAAGCACTGTATAGACCAGTCAGGAACCAGGAAATCAGACCATAAGGCATCAAAATGGCGAGTATTCTTTAGCAGCTATATAAGTACCAACTGGTTATGTCTGCTCGCACGATGACGAAATGGCTGCAAGCCAAGCTCGACGAAATAGGTCGTCTGCCATTTGATAAACAGCCAACGAAAAGAGTCTGTTGCCCATAATATTGGATACGCACTCTTTTCCCAGTTCATCGGACCAACATAGGACCTACAGAACAGTGGGCAACACATGAGAAAATAAGACAGGAACAACGGAAAACGAGTGCCGTTGACGCCAGCACTGCAAACCCCTTCGAATCACCGAAAGTTTGTAAAAAAAATGAACGAGCTGACTCGACTTAATTCAGCTAAATCTCTCGTTTATGCTGGTCTACTTCGACTGAATCTGCTGCAACAGGACGCCTCATGTTTCGGGTGGTATTTTATTCGAAACATCACAAAATGTTGTTCCCCGGGCACAACATACTACTCATAAGGTTGTTGAAAACAAACACATTCATCTAAATCTCTCTTTTATGCTGGTCCACTTCGACTGAATCTGCTGCAGCAGGACGCCTCATGTTTCGGATGGTATTTTGTTCGAAACATCACAAAATGTTGTTCTCCGGGCACAACACACTACTCATAAGGTTGTTGAAAACAAACACAGAAAGTTCTCGCTAGGTTTCTGCTCCGATGCAAGTTTCGTCTTTGATAGACAGACATTTGAAAGAGGTTGTAGAGCGATAGCTAATCCCAGCCAAGCCGGGATGCAGAAAGTTTAACACAGTATAATGCGAAGTTTTGAGTTCGCTACGTAAGCAACCCTTTCGTCATTCGGCAACGGAATCCACCAAGTGACCACCCCCACTTCCGAAAATGCCGAACCCACAATTGGATTGTAAAAGAACAGCAGGCCTTAATCCCTGGATGTGGCAGTGAGAAAGAACTGGATGGGACCCTCTAGATATACATAAATGAGAAAAGACGACCCTGGAGACCAGCCAATTAATCATTAAATGCTTTGCATCCAAGCTTTATTCAAGAGAGAGGACACTGAAGAGGTGAGAACGAGAACAAGCGCATCACCTGCTGCGAACACCTGGAAAGGACGAATATTCGAACCATTTCATCAGGATCGTGAAGGTCACAAATTCGATAAGCAGAACGTTAAAACTCGAAAATACAGACCAGTCAGGCACCATACGACGGATGAATCAACTGTCATGTCGAACCTAACCCAAACTACTCACTACCACATTCAAAGGATAGACAGCTCAAACAGAATAATCAGCTGCAATGAACCATTTTATCAAGAAACCAAGAAACCGGAATGAATTTAGTCCCATGTCATCAAAAATCACAGTGTGAAACATGTAAAGCCTGAGCTCACTTGAGGACCAACCAGTAGACGAGCGGTTGGATGAGACAAGGTGAAAGGTAGCGTAAAAATTAACCAATCAGAAAACAAGCTGACAGAAACTACATACCATAAGCGAGGGTCAGTCCCGAATAGCGGAAAGCACATAATGCACGTATATACTCGGCACGCTCTCACTGAGAGACAAGGTGAAAAGTAGCGTAAAAATTAACCACTCAGAAAACAAGCTGACAGAAACTACATACCATAAGCGAAGGTCAGTCCCGAATAGCGGAAAGCACATAATGCACGTATATACTCGGCACGGTCTCACTGAGCCACTTCACAGTTCCGTTTCAAAACACCACGCTGGTGATGTCACTGAATGGTGACTGACGTTTTCAACCTTCCTAGGCCAACAACCCAAAAACCGTGGCAGGATCTGGTGGTAGAACAGGGGTTGTCTTTATGTTGTTTCAACAAGAAATAGATCTAATGGGCTGTTGCCCATATGGCCAGGGACCAACCTTTTGGCTTCAACAAGTGCTGGTCTTTCGCAAGAAGTGCAAAGTCTCCCGAACAATGGTTACATGAGGTTATCCCAGAACTCCAGATTTTCTGTCGCTCTTCCTGTCCGATCAGTTGGTTCACATGAGATCCTTATACCGACGGCAGACCACAGTTTCATTTAGATTCATACTCACGGATGTGTCAGTAGTATTGCAAAGTGCTTCTATGATATAAACTCAGAGCAATAACCATTGGTTTGGTGAAGCACCATTTCTTTTTTTCATTCCTAAAATCATCAGATATTTTAACTGACGCACGTTCTCAAAGTTACCGACATCACGATTCCGACCCGTTGTCATGGTGAGATGAAATATCAACACCTTATCCAGCGTTCCATCAGTAGTCGCCTATTGACACTTTCCCCGCCCCGGAAAAGAGCGATCGATGCGAACAAAAGGACCGGTTACAACATTTTTTTAATCGACTGGTGGTTGCAACCACTGAGGGAAGTGATTACAGTGTTGAAGGTATTTAACGCTTTATTTAATACCAAAATAACGGAGTCCCGCAAACCACACGTCGAGGCATGGGCGGTCCCGACAGATTACCACATGAAAAAGGTCTTAGAACTGCTTAAGAACACATCAGAAGTGCTTTCTTGAGAAAGACCAAAACTCGACACATTCTGTATCATTCATATGTAAGGTTTTTCTTAAAGTGGGCAAGGCCTGGGCCTTCAAAAAAGTGGGTTTAAGGCTGTCAATCATCCAGACTAGTTTCATTATAAAACTAATCATCACTGGAAAACCCTCCATGAAGTAAACAGCCCATCCTGATGGTTGTCTGTGAGAGCGTCGTGATCAAGGGCATACGTCATCTTGCGGGAAATCTATCAACAGATTATTAGGCATTCGTTTCAAGCATTTATCCGTTTCGGCACTGTAATACAGTGTAACAAATCCTCTTTAGAGAGATATTCTCACTGAGATAACCGGTCTCGGTTCTGTGAGAGAACTCTCACCCGAAGACTGATTGTTGAAAAAATTGTCCAAGAATTATGATCTTCAGCTGAGTAGGCCACCGTAACCTCGTTCGAATGGCCACACGAACAGGGCAACAACCTAACGGCCTGATATGGGATTCTCCCAGTAAGGAACCCAAAACTACATCACGTGAATGTGTATCGACGAGAGCCACTTACAGGTTGACAAACATCATCTGCTTTTAGAAAAGCGGTAAAATCATAATGAATTCGGATTCTCGTATTGATGTCAGACGAGAGCTTTCAACCCCATTCCAGTTTCTTTTTGGTGAGTTCTGTTTACCCACACGATCTATGCACCTGATACTCATAACTAGGTACCAAACGGAAGGTTGGTAACCTGATTGGGACACTCACTCAAAAGCGGTCATTCTGGACCGGTCATAGGAGCACTCTGGAGAGATCATTCATAGGCTCAGAACAGGAACCAAACTTAAACAGATTCCATCAAAGCTCTCTTGTGGGGACTTACAAACATGTTTAAAGATTCATCATGGATGAGCCGAAACTCGCCAGTCGCGTTACATTTTTCTTTGGGTTTACACATTCGATACACTTTTGTGGTGATAAACTAGACCACGTTGAGAAAAGATCGAATAAACCATTCGCAATGCATTACACATAAGGTTGCTGAAAATTCGTCGACGACCCACGATCGGTTTCGCTCTTCTTTTGGTTCGTCAGGTAGGCGCAGTACCCGAGTTTCCGTCAACCTTATGTCCTACTGGAAACCAAATTGCGTGAAATTAGCGAATATACACTAATTTGAAAACAAATTTGGCTTTTTGAGAGACTCACCTGGAACCCAGCTGAATCTCTCGTTTATGATGTTCTCAGGCAACTGAATGTGGTGCCCCAGGCCGGCCTCATGTTCAGTCGCTACGATGTTCGACATATCGCCATACATGTGTATTTATACTGCACTACTCATAAGGTTGCTGAAAACTCCTCGACAGCCCACGACAGTTTCGTCCTTCTTGGGCAATGTGTAGCTATCAGAATGCTCTGTAAGTATTTCGGACGAGATGTCCAGAATTAATGGTTCAAGTCTTCTTAAGGAGATTCCACCACATGATGACCATTTAGTTTTTCCGCAAGTGTTTATCACATTTTAAGATTTATACTACTTCAAACTGCGGGTTTATTCCAGGACTACATTCGGGGTGTGATCAGGTGGGAAGCTATACGTGACTCTAGAAATTTGTCACAGGATAATTAGACAAGAACAACTTCTAGTTGTACCGCACCCTATTCTATCTCATCTAAAATTAGTAGGTATTCGGTCGCACCGAACACAGGTCAGTTTAGATTTGAGCGATTGTGCGAATAGGCTGCCCAACACAAGTATTCTTCGGTAAACGCCAAACACCGAGCCGATCGATGATAAGACCGTATGAGTATTGAATTTCCCTTGCTTTTAGCAACCCATATCTTGAGTAAGGCGAATAGTTGGCTACATAAAGATTCCCTAAGATAGGGTGCATGGAAATTTATATTGGGCTATTTCCATACACTGAAAAAGGCACGTGATCCCTGATCTGCAAACTAATTTGGTTTTTCGAGAGACTCACCTGGACCCCAGCTGAATCTCTCGTTTGTGTTGTTTCCAGGCAACTGAATGTGCTGCACCAGACCGCCTCATTTTTCAGTCGCGACGATATTTGAGATATCGTCATCAAAACCGGGAGATTCCTCTGGGTTCCAGGTAAGTCTCTCAAAAAACCAAATTAGTTTGCAAATGAATGTATATTCGCTAATTTCGTGCAGCTTGGTTTCAACTAGAACATATGGTTGAGGAAACTCGGGGACTGCGCCTATCTGATGTATTTTCAGCAACCTTATGAGTAGTGCATTACAAAATAAACACGTGGCCGCTGGTTGTAGCCATTGTCTTAGTTACATGCGGAACCTCCAACTGAACACCCACACATTCAAAACTAGGGGAAATGTATGGGGTTTTAGAGGAAGAAGGCCGTTCACTAAAGCAAAACAACTGACCTATTGTCGAAAAGCTTGATGTTTTAGTCCAGCGGCATTCCATCCTCACAGTGGATCTGAAATTAAAGATGATTGGATCTCGTAAAGCGGAACCACCCGAAGCCTTTTGTCTTTCACTTCCCTCCCAGTGGTGGTGGTGTTAGAAATTTGCACGTTAAACTTCGAAGCCTACGTTCAAATACTTTCCAAGGCCACGTGCTTATTGGCGACATCACTGAACGTTCCCATGCAAGGTTCAAGTGACGTAGCAACGCGCAAAAACGCGAGAATTCCGATCATACCACTCGATTTCACCACAAAAAGTGATGACAAGCGGTCCGAAGAAAAAGCTCACAGTCAAAGGAATTGAAAACGCCGAGCGAAGCCTTGACATTTCCGAATAACCATGCTTTAATTATCTTTCCGCAGCGTTCTTGTGGATCGATGACTGGTTCACTAACAACTGCGTTATTCTGAGGTCTAGGAAATGTCATCAAGGCAATAACAACCGCTATTTTTATCGGCCGATTAGGGGTTCAGAATTTGAGGTTTATCGATTAGATGGTCATTCCCAGAATGCTTGAAAATCCGAGAAAAATACTGTGAATATGTGATTAGATCCCAAATATTTAGGAGGCAGCTTCGTGCACCTCAGTATCGGTGGTATTCTCCAAGTTTTACCACACCTAATAATTGGTGTACTTTTCACCGACTAGACCGCTTCAACACACTGTCCAACGAAACCAGCCCTTCCCAAAGACAAAAGGCTAGCATTTTCGTTCGTTCTCTTCTACCGTTGGCCTACTTATGTTTAAACCCTGCTAATGCCTTTTTACACACATGCACTCATGTCCCGTCATACACTGCTGCATTCGGGGTTGATTCCGTTTCCGAAATTGGTATGCTAAATCGAAGGAAGCTGGTACATCCACATGCAAAATGGGCAATAACAGTGCGGTCTGTGCTAAGACGCAAATGAATCTAACTGAACGTTTTGTACCCGGGATACGGCTGACAGCATAAGACCAGAGGCTAAGCAGAAAATGGACTTTACTCATAACGCAGTGAGCAGTCCCAACTGATGGCCGAGACCAGGTGAACATCTGAGTCCAAATGCGTGCAAAACGGCAACCGGCGGCCGGCACTACTCGCTTGGATCACCCAAGGCGAACATATATATGGCTTGTTAGCGCCAAACCTTATATAGTGAATCTATGATGACGGAGAGTCACCACCTATCACCGCACACTCATACACCTATATGTCCGCTTTTTTAAATGCTTCATACTACTCAAATCCGAATGATCATCAAGAAACGTCAAGCCTCTGTTCGTTGCTGAATCTTTAAGGTGTTCTAATTACACTGCGTCTCAAGGAATGTGTTCCAAAAATTTGTTATCATCATCATCATCACCTTTCACCTTTCAGGCCATTTGCAGTAATGCAAAAGTGTTAAAAAGTTTTTCTCGCGCAAAAGTCACCGACTTTTGTTGTAATTCCAGCAAGTCTACAAACTCCTTCCTCCTCATTTATGTATATTTCAGAACAACATAGGGTGGCCAGGGAAGCGACTAAAACAAGAGTTATCTAAAGAAATATTTACCTCGTGAATCGTGAAAAAGCGTCGAACGAGAACCTGATTAGTGAGTCAAAATTGTTGCCTGTAGAGAGGTTGTTGCTGGGGAGGCTAATAGTAGTCTGGAATGAGAGGAAGCAGAAGTATGGTGCTGATGAATATTCCCCCGCCACAACCTCAGCCCTACGGTTATGATGCCGACATCTTGGTCCACCAGCCGATGATCATTTCTTATCGAGGGATCTGCTCGCCTCAATCCGCCAAGGCTGTTATTGGACTGGAACTTCCTAAGGCGACAATCACTGGCTTTTGTTCGCTTGCCGTTGTGGGTTCCCTGTGTACTTACGACAATTTAATGCGTGGTACATGGCGCTGAGTGTACATTCTTGCCACTGAATCTCACATCAGACCCAGTATGACGGAGGTGAGAGTCTTGACTGTGCTAGCGCTTACCGCGCCTTGAAGAGCATTCAGCACTGTCTATCCTCTCTCCGGTTGTTGGTCTTTACACGCGTAGTTCCACACCAAACATTCTTACATACGTTGGGATTCATCTTATCTGACCGAAACTGTTAGTGATACGACTTCGAACGGGACGCTCCTCTCTTTTCGTTCAATATTCTCCTGTAACCCTTTAGCATACATCGCCTGGGCTAAATTTTTATGCTTGTCATCACGCTCTTCAAAAAATAAAGGATAATATAGACAGTGATTTCGTTTTTCAATGGTTAGAACATTCTTTGCACATCATAGGCTGCATTCGGAAAACTCTGTTTACTTTAAGGCGGCTCAGAGCTTGTCGATTTGTCATAGATTAAATCGCGTTTTCGAAAGAATCTCAGCTTTTCAAACACAAAGAGTGATCCGTGTTGAAGTTACAACTTGGCAAAGGTGTGAAAACGAAGACCCCTTCCCAATACTGTTCTGAACACTCTGTTAGCCTTCACATCGATCGCTTCGGAAGAAATTAAAATTCAAAATGGGGATTAGTACCGTCTGTGCTGTGGTGGACTATCACAGATTGGATCATCATCCCCATTTGAACGCTGGTTTACAAATTAGAGTGGTGAAAGTGTGAGACTGAAGTAAATCTCTCCCTTCAGTAGAATGTGCTGTATTGATACTATCGTAAGTTGGAACAATATTTAAACAGCTGAGTACTTTCTCCGATCAAACATGACTTGTTAAGTTGACAAAAACCACGGGTGAGCCGTTCAAGTCTTCATCATGTTGATGAAAGCACTTTGTTATCTGGAACATTATCCTACCGCATCCATCACTTGCTCTTAAAAAATAAACGATGCTGGTAGTTTACCGGTGGATACTACTAATGAAGCATGCGAGTAGTATGTAGTTTTCTAATAACTCCGCTTCGTGTTCATTGAAAAGTGAGATTTATTACGGAATTTGTGGAATCGCTCTGTTGCATTCGTTCACGTTTGCGTGATAATCAATAAGTATCCAGGAAAGTTCCGGAAGACGCATTCGACAAAAAGACAGATACTCAGTTTTTACAAACAAGATGTATATGAGAGTTTTGCTTCCCTGTCCAATAGTGTCTAACTGTTCAGTTGGTGTGTTCGGACAGTGGTAGTAGGACTGCGCGCGTAAAATGGAATAGTGTGTCGAATTCGATCGCCCTGTTTTAGTCGCAGTCAACGACTCAGTAGGGTATTTGTACGATGGTATACAAATGTACACGTTACCCGTCAGGAGCTTACGAAGAACGAGAAAAAATTGACAGCAACTGTCGTAAGACAGCCTTCCTCCTTTGCGTGACATGAACAGCTGTAAGGCTGTACCAGAGCGAATAGCTTTGAAACTGGCTTGATCAAGTTGAGTAACTCATGCGTCAATCCTCGTATTGCGTTAACAAACAGCGTCTACCCGACTAACTCAGTTTCAGTTTATTTATTCCAGTCCGTTGTAACATTTTAGTGCTCGTATCAATCAGATCCATCCATGTTTACCGCCTGAGGGGATATCCTACCGTCTGGGTTAGTCCATCCGCGCACCGTTCAACCCCTCTCCACACACAGCTAAATATACGTGGATGTATGTACCTAAACCCAACTCTTCAATCTGGTGAACATTACTCTTACCGTCCACCCCATCCCCACAGGCAACACAGCAAGATGGATTTTATTAATTGGTTGTATATCAGGCAAAGTATCCATGGAACTTGGGCACATTCCCCACATACATACATACATACATGCATACGTACGTGTACAAACTAAATACATGGGAATAAAAACGTTTTGGTTCCCGGTTCATCGCTTCACACTGGACTGAATATGTATATCTGCCGCGGCATACTATCACTGTTTTTCACTCTCTTGAGTAGCGGGACG